GCACAATAAATAAAATTCGTAGAGTTGCAAATGAAAATGATGGGTTTAAAGAAGACCTTACTGAAAGTCTTAAAGCCCCATTAGTTTGGTTCGTGATATGTTTAGCCATTAGTCTTTGAAAGGTGAATTATTTGAAATATATAATGCAGTATCAGATATAGAAATTAAAAGGTTTTGGAAAATGATTTTTCTTCTTGAAGATAATATTATTTATGAAAACTATACTTTAGCAAATATAAAACAAATAGTAAGTATTAATTGAATTATTATATATACTGTAATAATAATAATAATAATTATAACATATATTTAGCCATGATTACAAAAATTTTTCAACCACTGTTGTACTATAAGGCATTACTTTTTTTTGATTAAAAAATGTGGTGAATTATCTTGTACCATTTGTTGTTCTCCTCATTGTTTGCCAGAAGATTTCGAGAAACTGCATTGTCTCTCAGATCTGGTACCTGAAGATGACTTGTATTATATATTATTTGAAGAACTATATGGTATATAAATAACAAAAAACTATAGACCTTCATTTATAAAATCCGAACCAAAAAAAAAGCAAGAAAAGTAAAAACAAAATATACTATGCTATTTAGTCCCTCTGTAGCATATGCTAAAAATGTCAGTATCACTGTAAGTTGTATTGAATACAAAAAACTATATCTTTTATTTAGTTCAAAGAAAATTTTAGAAAAAGATAAGTCATTGTTGTAAAGATTTTTAATATGATCTTCTATACTTGTGGTATATTATTTTATAACACATACGACTAAGGATAGAAATCAGTTAAAAATTTTTAGTTGATTAGTCAGTCAACTAAAACAGTTAGTCATCGATTGACTAAAAATCAACTAATTGACTAATCGATTAATCGACTAATTGACTAATCGACTAATCAATAATCGACTAATTGACTAATCAACTAATCGACTAATTGACTAATCGATTAGTCGACTAGTCGATTAGTTGATTAGTCGATTAATCGATTAGTTAATTAGTCAATTAGTCGATTAGTCGATTAATTGATTAGTCAACTAGTCGATTAGTCAGCTAGAAGAATAAATAAACAAAAAATAAATACTAGAAATATAGCAATAAAATTATGAAATAGATAATTAATAGACAAGTAACCTAACTAATCGACTAATCTACTAGCTGACTAATTGACTAATCAACTAATTAACTAATCAACTAATCGACTAATTGACTAATCGACTAATCGACTAATCGACTACTCAACTAGTCGATTAGTCGATTAGTTGACTAATCAACTAATTGACTAATCGACTAATTAACTAATCAATTAGTCGACTAATCGACTAATCAACTAATCGACTAATCGACTAATCGACTAATCGACTAGTCGACTAATCAACTAGTTAACTAATCGACTAGTCAACTAATCGACTAATTGATCGACTGACTATGAAAAAATTTAGTTGATTAGTCAACTAATAGTCGATTAATCAACTAATAACTATATGATTCTTATCCTTTAGTACTATCAAATAAAGATGACAATATAGAAGATGATGTTAGTTCTGATAAAGGTGATAATAAGGTTGATCAAGAAAATATTAATAAAGAAATTAATAAGGAAGAAAATAATTCAACTGAATCTGAAAGCTTAGATGATAAAGAGCCTGACAAAATTGCTGAGAAGTTTGATGAAAATATAGAAGAGCCTGATACTGTACAAAGAATTCTATTTATAAACTTTTTTGAAAGTCTTTGTTAATGATTCATTGACTTGTATAACAAAAATTAAAAACTATACTATTCTGCTAGAATCTATCTAGATGTTTGTATTCACTGTGGGTGCTTGGATGTTTCTAAATCAGCAAATGAGTATCCACATTGTAATGATTGTGAGAGTAACCTTGCTAATTCAAAAAATTTTTCAAGACAGTCTAAAGATATTAAAAACAACTGAAAGTGTATTAAACCTAAAAACTAACTTTGATTTTATTTATAAATCATTTAAATCTATCTATTAATACAGTCAAATCTTTCAAATCTAATTCTATATAATCCGAATGCTTAACAAGCTCTAGAACATTTATAAATTTTATTATAATATTCTAATAAGCATATAGGAATAGACTGTCCAGAATAGATAATGTTGACTATATTTTAAATCTATAGTGTTTAGTATATTTACTTTATATTTTTATAATTTTTTTTTTAATTTATTCTTTTATAATAAATCTTATATCGCTATTGCTATCGTATTAATATTAAGGTTCATATTCATGTACAATTGATGTGTTATTTTAATTATTTATAAAAAAGTCTATAGACATATAAAATCATATATAAAATCGGTGATTAGTAGTATATTTAGTTAGGTTAAGGGCATGTGATTAGTAAATATCCATAGATTTATTGGATCATTTCTATTTGTCATATGATTTAAAATTGATAAATCCTATTGGTCAATTATATTAAAAAAAAATTTTTCAGATCTTGTTTTACTGACCCAAGCAGAATATGAAAATTAATTATATTAATTTGTATCATCTAATATGGGCATTAGTCAACATTTTGATGATCATACATGATACAGAATCACTCTTTAGTATTTAAATGACAACAATATTGTTGTTGACTAGCTCTCAAACCCGGCATTGCTCTGGGGGCTCAGTTTTAATTTTTTTTTAGTTCTTAAGTACTTGTTAACTTTAGTTGTTTAATTTATTAATATTTAAAAATAAATTATATAATTTTTTTAAAAATAAAATTTAGTTATTAAGTTTTTTAATATTAGTTTTTAGTTTTTTAGTTTTTAGACCCAGGTGTTACTCTGAAAGCTTAGGTTTAATTTTTTTTAATTTTTAAATATTTGTTAATTTTAGTTATTTAATTTATTATTATTAAAATTAAATAAATTAAATTATATAATTTTTTAGCAATATAATTTAGTTTTTGTGTTTTTAAATATTAGTTTATTAGTTTTTTAGCTTTTAGACCTAGGCATTACTCTGAAGCTTGGTTTTAATTTTTTTTGTTTTAAAAATTTTTAATTTGTTTTTAATTTATTAATATTTAAATTGAATTATATAATTGTCTAAAAATATAATTTAGTTATTAAGTTTAGTAAATATTAGTTTTTAGTTTTTTAGCTTTTAGGCTTTAAGACTTTCAGTAAGGTCTTCTTTAAACCCATCATTTTCATTTGCAACTCTACGAATTTTATTTATTGTGC